GCTCCTCCTGGGCAATTTTCTGACTCCCTGGTGCCGTCTCGGGGCTCTGTTGGGGTCCTCTTCGGCGGTCTTGAGGCGGTCTTGAGGGCGTCGTCGGCCGTCTTGGAGCGTGGGAAAGTCGAAAACGTGAGAAACCCAAAAACATTGAACAAAACGTATGGAATTCAATGATTTGGGGCTCTTCGGGCTCTCTCGGGATGCTTCTCGGAGCTCTCTTGAGGTCTCTTGGAGGCCTCTTGGGCTTTGCATTTGCCGTGTTACGCCCATCTGGGCCGTCTTGAAGCGCCTTGGCGCCTCCCGCTCGCGGTCTGTGGCTCAGCTTGGGCCTGTCCTGGGGCTCTCTTGGGCCGTCCGGGGCTCCTCCTGGGCAATTTTCAAACTCCATGGTGCCGTCTCGGGGCTCTTTTGGGGGCCTCTTCGGCGGTCTTGAGGCGGTCTTGATCGGGCGAAGAGAACTATGCCCACGCACCGATCCTGGCAAGGCCCATCCTTGACCCAGGATCGGTGCATATGCCTTCCTGGTCAAGGTAGGAGGGCGTATGCACCGATCCTGGGCTCAGGATGGGCCTGGCCAGAATCGGTGTATGTGCATAGTTCTTTTTCCTCTACTTGAGGGCGTCGTCGGCCGTCTGCGAGCGTCGGAAGGTCAAAAACGCGAGAAAGCGAAAAGCATTGCAACAAAAACACATGAAAATCAATGATTCGGGCCTCTTCGGGTTCTCTCGGGATGCTTCTCGGAGCTCTCTTGAGGCTTCTTGGAGGCCTCTTGGGCCGTGTGTTTGCGGTCTCGAACCCATATTGGGCCAGGTGGGGGCTATCTGGGCTGTCTTGTCGCAGTCCCCGATGGCTTCTGGGAGCTCTCTGGGGCAGTCTGAGAGCTCCAGGGTCGCTGCCGGGGTGCTCTGGGAGCGGTCTGGGAAACCCAAGTCCTCCCATGCCCCCCCGTGCCCTGCCCCGGGCCCCGGGCGCCTGGGCCTCGTGCACGGATCTTTTTTTTTTGTTCTCTCTCTCTCTCTCTCTCTCTCTCTCTTTTTCTCTCTCTCTCTCTCTCTCTCTCATTCTATATTTCTATACATATATATAGAGATATACACAGAGATGCCATACATCCGTGCAGCTACGTGTGCTTGAATGCGTATGACTCTAACTTATGACTTAATTCCAAGGGAGAGCCGAGTTTGAACATGAGCCGCGCTCCATCCGCGCAGCTGGTGTAGAGTGTTGGTAGACTGCTGCTGATGATGCGCGTGAGCCCGGCTTTGGAAAGGAACCGTTCATCATCCACATGAGTCCTGCGAGCTTGTAAGGCGAACATACGCGGCCCGATAACGAGATCCACATTTTGAAAAGGAACCGCCCGCCATCCTTGCAGCCTCTTGGAAACGTTTGACATAATACGTGCGCCCAGCGCCCCATTTCGACAACGGTCCAGCCTCACTCCTCGCAGCTGTTGGGAACTGCAAATATCAGGATCATAAGCAGTGGGGAAGTCTCGAAAGAGATGCCCAAACCGGCCGCCCTGTCGACGAGCCTGGTGGTGCGACGATCTCCAGGAAAACTTCTCTGCAAGAAGGGTGACTGGGGAGAAGGAGGTGTCAAGACGATGATGGAGCGCGACGTGTCCGAGCCTCTGGGCGGCATCGGGGTTCGTGAAGTTGATGAAAGAGTACCCGAAGCACTTCTTCGACCCGAAGTCCCTCGGCACGTGTAGGAAGTCCGCCGGCCCCGCGCTGGCCCCCGCTCGGACGTCCATTTCCCGTGCACGTTTCGGTTCCTCTGGCTTGTTATTTGTTCGCTCGATGATCCAAGGTGTTCCAGGATGGGTCACACTTTCGGGCGCTGGCAACGCCGAAACAAAGGCACACGTCCGAGCGATGTCACATTGCGGAAGCACCATGCGTGTGAGGCAGGGCCCCGCGCCCGCGCACTCGCGCTGGTGCCGCTGGGCTGCGACAGCCCGTGAGAGTGCACAGGGGACAACCCGTGCCACGAAACACGATCATTGCCTCCGGGGTGCTCTGGGTTTTTTGGGGGGTTCGACGATCTTGCTGTGGAAAGCGTGACGCTCCCACACCAGAAAGCAGTGGACGCCCTGGGGTCTCCGGATTGTTTCCCTCTCAAGTTCACCCGCCCACGGCATCCGTGCATCAGTGACATTATTGGTCGCCTTCTTCCAGGCCAACATACTGCTGGGTTTCTTGCGGGGAGGTCTCTTGTGGTCGAGCCCCTGCTGTACTCTGGTAGGTCTACTCTTGCCTGCTGCCCATGCAGGGTTGCGTGTTCCGCCGCCCGCGGCGCTCTGCGCCGCGCTCGTCCCTTATCCTCTTCCTCCTCCTCCTCCTCCGCCTCCTCCTCCTCCTCCTCCTCCTCCTCCTCCCCCTCCTCCTCCTCCTCCTCCTCCTCCTCCTCCCCCTCCCCCTCCTCTTTTGCTATTTTTCCTCCTCCGCCTCCTTCTCCTCCGCCTCCTCCTCCGCCTCCGCCCCCGCCTCCTCCTCCGCCTCCGCCTCCTCATCCGCCTCCGCTTCGGCCTTCGGCCTTCGCCTCCGCCTCCGCCTCCGCCTCCGCCTCCGCCTCCTCCTCCTCCCCCTTCCCTCCCCCCCTCCCTCCCGTGCCAGCGACCAGAACCACATACCAGACCGAACCTCCCTTCCCTCCCTCCCTCCCCCCTCCCTCCTTCCGCCCCCCCCTCCTCCTTGCTCCTCCCTCTACCCCTCCATCCTTCCCTCCGGCCCCTTCCCTGCTGCTGTTGCTGCTGCTGCTGCCTCCTCCTCCTCTCCTCCCCTACTTCTCCTCCCTCTTCCTCCTCCTCCTCTCCTCCTCCTCCTCCTCCTCCCCCTCCTTCTCGTGCATCCTTCCCTCCCTCCCACCATCACTCCCTCCCCCTTCCCTCACTATCCCCATATTTCGCCCGACCTTGCCCAACTGACGCTTGCCGAGGTGGACTTGCAGAGAGCGGAAGCCACCTGGAGAAATAGGGGTGAAAAGATGAGCGTGGCACTGCGGGGGGAGAACAATGAACCTGCGATAGCTGGCCGTCGTTGAAGACGAGCACCTGCCCTTAGCAGGGGCGACCGCGGAAGGCGGCGGCAACTAGCGCGCAAAGATATGCTATTCCTGGGGCTCCGATCTTCGCCCTCCATGCCCCCCGAAGCGGCAAGCGAGAACAAATTCGCGCCTCGCATTCTCGCGAAGCACCTTGGCGGTGAAGAAGAAGATGAGAAGAGTCGGAGGCGAACCGCAAAGCGTGAAGCGCGAATGGTTACGCACCCTCGGAAGAACCCTACTACACTTCACACCATTGATTTGGCCGCCCTCAAACCAAATGGTGGGACATCCTGCGGCGACCCCAAATCCTCAGAATGCCACCCCCAGGTTTTAATACTCAGGGTCACCAGCGGGTTTCGTGAGTCCTGGGGCCACCACCGCTCGACGTATCCTCGAAGCACGACCCAGATCCCAACACCACGTGGTGAAGTTCTGGGGCTTCTGGGTCACCACTGGGCGTGGTCACCGCCAGAACCACATGTCAGACACGGCCTCCTGAAACCTCCGCGAGTTTCCCGTGGGATGCTTTGCCGCCTCCTGGGGCCTCCTGGGCGTTTTGAAGCTTCCAGGGGTTTCCTGGGGCCTCCTGGGGATCCTGAAAAGCTGGGGTCTCCTGTGCTCTTCTGGCATATCCTGAAGCCCCCTGAGGTTTCCCCAGGTACACTGGGCCCCCCCCTCCGCACTTCTTCTTGGAACGTTCAATGGCCTCCCGGGTTTCCCTTGGGTTTCCTAGGATCCGTGGTGATTCCCCATATGTTTGCTAGGACCTTGCGGTGCCTGGACCTACTGGAGCCTATCGTGGGCTCCTGCGGCCTCCACGGGGGGGCCTGTGCGGATGAGAGATGTATGTGCGTTCGCAACACCCACACGTATATGTATAGCACGTCATATGCCGCCTGCACTGTAGCATGTCCAATAACAACTTCACATGTTTACCACACCGATGCATAACCATCGTCACGTTATAACAACACATGCACGTGTGTAATATGTACACGCGTAGATATGCACGTATAGTGATATATATACATACATACATACATTACTGCATGCATCTATACATGTGTATATATTAGTATATTAGTATATAGATTTATGAATATATGCATGTGTGTATATATTGTGATATACAAATATGGATAATCATTGTCTTTTGTATACATTCTATCAGGTGACAATAATATAAACGATAAATATAATATGGTATACTTATATATTATATATATGTACGTATATGTTAAACATATCCGTATGCATATGATTGTAAATGTCGGTCATATCTACATGGTTACACTCCAGTATGTATTTACGACGATGTCTATGTGTTAAAGATACATGGTATGTGCCCATCCTATACTATGTGTCATACGCCAAACAATCATCCTGTATTATGTGAACCATAGATACTATAATAGAAGAGTGATATGCCATGTGGATTGCATGGACTGTACTGTATATACATACACGTGTATATGTGCGTATTCATAGTAATTGCCACCTGTACGATGTATGACCGATAAACGCTCTACACACGACCGTGAACGATTGGACTTTCATGTGGGTTCCTGAAGCATGATTGGGCATCCTCGGGCCTCCTGGGGCCTCAAGGGGCCCTATAAGGCCGAATTGCGAATCTTCCGAGGGAAACTGGGGCCGCCTACTGCGAGCGCAGCGGGGCCCCCTTCTCCTGGAGGCTGCGCGGGAGGAAAGAGCGCGGGCATCAACTTTTGCAGCTCGCCCCGCCGCTGCCAGAATTACAATCACGTGCGCCTCTTCTTGGTTGAGAGGTCGAAGATGGCAGCGCGCCCCCCCGGGCGCGTTGCGTCCCGAATGCACCGGAATACTTCTTCCTGGCGCTCTCTAGGACCACGGCGCGGCATTCGCCGCGTCGTCGCCTCAGGGACAAAACTCTCGAATTGGGCCTGCGCGCTATTCAAGTGCGCCGTCCAACTGGCCTGAGTGAACAGCTGGGCCGAGGCGACCACAAACGGCCGCATGCTTGCATGCTTCACCCGGACGGTCGCGCGACCCGCCAGGGCCCGGTGCGCGAGCGCCAGCTCCATGGCGCCCCAGGTCCGAAGCCCGGCTGCAAGCATCTGGTGGCTTACCCGAAGAGTCTGCCTGAAATCAGAGTTCAGGGTGGCGCGCACCTGCTCGTTCCTGGTCGTGCCAGTGCCAAGCAAGGCGTTAGCGTCCGCCGTTAATCGAGAACGGTACCTGACATTGTTGAAAAACCATTCTGCTCTATTCGGTCGACACGCCGCCACCAACTGCTCACGGAACGTGACCTTGTCATACTTCGTCTCCAGGCGGTCTGGATACACTGCCACGAAACTGGAAAGCAGCCTGCAGAACTCGATGCGAGACCGCATTGGCACGTTGGGATCCATGGCCTTCAGGACGCGCGCAGCCGCGGCTGGCTGCAAGTCGCCCTGCTCGACGTGTCCAATGTGGGCTCGCTCGGCCGCGGTAAGATGCGGCACTTGGGTCCCGTCGAAGAAAGGCCCCTGAGAGTTGGACGGGTCAGGATGGCTGAATTTGCCTATTATCGAGCGCAGAACCAAGCCCGCGACTGTCGGGCGCATGCGGCGTTTGACGAAGTGCCGATCTGCGGAGAAGCACAAGTGCACGGGGTCGAATGACATGCCCATCAAGTTCGGGAATATCTCGCGCATGGATGCGACCAGCTGGTGGCCGACCACGTCCGCCGCCACGTGCTCGACCCTGTCGCGAAACGCCGCTGGCACCACGCGCTCCGCCGCGCTGCAGACAGAGACAGGGCTCTCCACGTATGATGGCTCCAGGCCGAGCACCTCGCCATGGAAGCCGAGGACGGTGAACACGTTGTGCTTGTCGCAACTGGAGCGGCCGTCGACCTCCAAGGCAACCTTGTACGTCGCGTCGACGGACAGGGGCCGAAGCCCGCCGAGATCGGCCACCTTAATTTTAAGGCTGTCGACGAAGCTGCGCATGGCGTCGGACTCCATGATGTCCAGCGCCAGGGCGCTCATCGTCTGCGACTGCCTATTCGCTAGAGCGGTGACCTCGCACCCGCACGCCAACCATTCGGCGACCACTGCCCGAAATGCCTTGCCGTGGACGCCGCCGGCGCCGAGAAGTTGCCGTGCGTACGCGTTCGCGAAATCCACGGTGTAGTAGTGCTCGCCGAACTGCCTGCACTCCTCCAGGCGTTGATCGCGCCTCGACCAGAGCTGGCCCCTCGGCTGTCAGCACCAGCGCCATGCAGCCGTCGTAGTTCCCCATGATGGAATAAATAGAACGACGCGCGCCTGGCAGAGCTGAGAACCTGGTCCACTGAACTATCAGCTACCTTGCCCTCGACGCATACATGCCGCGCTTCTCGGACGCGGTCACGACGTCGTGGTCGTGCAACGCGCGGATGAGAGCAGCCAGCACTGGATGCGTCACCTGCTTCTGGTCATCAGTCAAGGTTGCATGCAAGCAGGACGGCTTGCCAACTGCGTGGGGCCGCGCGTGGTCGCGAGCCCGGTCTTTCCTCTCGAAGATCCGAGCGCAGAACGGGCATTCGAGGCCGTTCCCCCCTTCGCCGAGGTCGTCGTCAGCGAGCCTTCCCGCCCACAACGCGGCCTCCTCCTTCAGCATCTGCGCCAACCCATCATGTCGAAGGCGCTTCTCTGACGTCGCGGCTGGCCGCTTCGCGACTGCCCGCGCCGCAGCGGGCCTCTTCGTCACCTGCCCTCTGGCGATTGCCGCCTTCGCGGCTGGCCGCTTGCCGATGGCGGGCTGGACAGGGCGGACAGCTGGCGGCCTCGCCACGCGTCGCGCCCCCATTGCGGCTGGCCAGCGGCGGCGCGGGCCGCGCAGGCGCAAGGAAAGGCGGGGCCTGGTCTCTGCGCCGGGCAAACAGGAACCCTCGAGGCGATGGCGCAGCGCACTGCGGATGCGAGGCGAGGCGAACGGGAGCCCTCGAGGACGCGCCAATGGAACAGCCTCCCCGATCTCCCCTAGCGCGCGTTCTGATCAGGAGTTCGACGCGAGTCCAGCCGCCGAGGCCAGGGATATCAGGACGAGCACCAGCGGCACCGGTATCTGTTCTCCATCCCCCCCACCATCTCCACTGAGCGTGGAGCGTCCTGGAGTTCCCCCTGTGCCTGGCGCGGCTGCTGGCAGACGAGCGGCGGTTGATTTTCAAACATGACAAGTCGCTTTGACTGCAGGACTGCCCCTGAGTTAAGCGCCCACCTACACGCCTAGAGGCGCGCAGCGCCTTCCTGCGTCCGCCCTCCGCAACCTGCCACCGCCGATCTCACTCCAGCGCGAGATCCGCCATGCGCTGAACCAGCCCGTCCATGTCTTCGTCGTGGACCTCCGCCAGCACGACGCGCTGCGCGTGGAAGTGCGCGATGCGCGCCCAGGCCAAAGAGAGCTTGCTCATGGCCTCCGCCAGCCGCACCCGCAACGTCCACGAGTCCTCGGCGATGCGCGACACGGCAGCGCGCAGCGCCCGCACCCTAAACTTCAAGCGGACGTGGTCGTGGCGACTGGGCGGGAACGCGTTGAAGCCGCGCTCGGTGACCAAGTTGTTGAGCATCCAGTGTCCGGCGTGATGCGGCAGCACCTGGGATTGGGGAGGCGCGCGCCAACAGCGCGCTGTTTCACCGCCATGGCTTTGTTAGCACGTGTGTGTACATGTGGCGGCATGATGACTTATACACGCATGTCGCTCAATCCCAGACAATATACCCCTCACGCGCGTTCGTGAATGCCTACGCAGTCGCGCATTGAGACGCGCCAGGTTCCCCAGTAAACTCCGAGGGCCTACCTGCCAGGACATCGGCGCATTGGCGCCTTAGTTCAAATTGGCTCTGCTTGGCCTGGGGAACCTGGCTGGGGGAAATGACTATGCATGCAAGGGGGCTCTTCGCACATCGCGCGCGGATGGCAAGGTCGACAACGCTTGGGCCACCCACGTTAGAAGAATGGCGCTGAATGTATTGTAACCCATAAAATGTCGAGACGCGATCGAAATCTCGGCGCTGAGAGCGCTCAAATTACGGGTCAACATATGGGCGGGGGCGATCGACTTCTCCGCGTAGATTCTCAATCGGGGGAAGGCATCGGTGACTTCAGCCCTGAATTGCCCGAGTTGCACCCCAGTCGGCCCTGCGCCCCCGCCAAGGCGGCTGATCGCTGCAGAGCGAAATCAAAATCGACAGACGAGCAGGTTGGAAGTTTACGTCGCCCAAACAAATATTACCATCCCCTTTCGCGCCGGGTCGTTGTCGGCGCCTTCGAGCACGGGGTAGGGGACAAATGAGACCCTGGGCCTCATGCCACGGTCGGTCGGCCTGAAGAACTGCGCGATCATGCGCAAAGAATAGTCTGGGATCTCAAATTCCCCAGCGAAGCCGAGACGCGACGAGGCCGGGCAGATCGACCCGCGCGTCGGAGGAAATCGGGCCCAACGGCCGATCGCGCGGACCTGGCGACCCGGCAGACCTGGAGCGCCGCCTAGGCGGCTTTCGAAAGGGTCGGACAGGATATCCATCGGATATCAAATCGATCGATCCGGCGGGCCGGTCGCCCCAATCAGTCGCGCGGCACGCGGCCTGGGGCTCCGACGGAACCGGAAGATCCGCTAAGCGCCACGAGCGCCTGGTTCATCCAGAAGACCTCCTCTCCAGTGAGTTGCAAGTACGCCACGTAATCGACGCCCTGGTCGACCTGCAGCAGGAGCATCTGAGCCTCCAGGAGCGCATCCTCCATGGCGCTGGCAGAGTCAAGAGTGGGATGGGGGCGGGAATGCTTTGCGCGAGTGCGCGGGCGTCTGGAATTGAGCCTCGGCGGCGACTGGGGAATGCGCGAGTGGAAAGCCAAACAGATCCTTGATCGCGGCGCGAACGCCGTGCCCTCCTGGGCGCCGCGGGGGGCGGGAGGTAAGGGAACGGCCTCGCGGCCAACGGGGCCACGTGGTAAAACGAATCGTTTCGAACAGTTGCTTCTTCCGCTGACGCGGGCAATCCCTGCGCCCCATGGAAGGACCCGTGAGTTCAAAGAAAATGGGAAACAGCGCGACTCGTTCTCAAACTGATCACCCATCCTCCTATGCCAGCCCCCAGACGGCTCACGACGGCGGCACTGCAAACCCGCGGAGCGCCGCAGGAGCCCAGCGCGTTCCAAGGCGGTTCAACCAGCTCCACCATGCAACCATACATAAGTGAAAAACACATGAACCGCAATCGGCGCGTTCGGGTCATCATGAGCTTGCAGATTCCTAAAGAGAACTGCAGGTCCATTCCGACATGGCTGAAGGAAAAAAACATGGACATCCCAAGCGGTCTGGACTAATCCAAGATGACGCTCACAATCAAACGTAGATTCCAGAACTCACCGCGACGATGTGGAGGTGAGGCGGCGGAGGGTGGCATTGGTGAAATAACACAAGCTTCGGGGGCTGGCCCAAACTGGAGCAACTGCTAGAGGCCTAGAGAGTGGACGCTTCGCTCCTGCAAACGCACGTAACCTTTGGCAACAACTGCACAAATGAGCGCGCAACGACTGCCCCGCCGACTATAAAGCCCCCCTGAGTCGGCCCCCTGCCAGCCGCCGCGCCTGCTGGCGCCTCAGCCCCGAACGAACGTCGCAACCGGGCTGCGCCTCAAGGCTGCCGGGACCGCTTCTTGCTGCCGCGAGTCTCGACCCTGTTCTTTTTGATGGCGGCGCTCAACTGCTCCCAAGTCATGTTGGCGTAATTGTTCAGAGCCTCCCTAAAATCCCATCTGAATTTAAACGGAAATCCTCCCATTTTGGGAAAACCGGTCCCCCTAAAATCAAATCCCGTTTTAGGGGGACCGGTCCCCCTAAAACCCGCTCCCATTTTAGGGAGACCGGTCTCCCTAAAATCAAATCCAGTTTTAGGCGGACCGGTCCCCCTAAAACCCCCTCCCACTTTAGGGAGACCGGTCCCCCTAAAATCAAATCCCGTTTTAGGGAGACCGGTCCCCCTAAAATCAAATCCCGTTTTAGGGGGACCCCCTAAAACCCCTTCCCATTTTAGAGGGACCGGTCCTCCTAAAACCCCCTTTGGGAGGGCCCAGAAGGCTCCAGACCAATCCACAGGAAATCGAAAGGCTTCAGGTAAGTTTCCGAGGGTCCCTGACGGCATTGCGGAACGCTGCTCAGGAAACTTGCGTTTGGATTTCGGGAGATGTTCAGGGATCCGTTCAAACATGCTCCCATGAGTTACCCAGAAGGTGCCCAAGATGCATGAAACAACGACGTTTCCGTAGGATGCTCACCCGTCTTACTGTGACCAGTCATCGTCCTCATCACCATCATCAGCAGCAGCATCATCAGCAACACCATCACCATCATCATTGTCATCATCATCATCGTTATCGGCATCATTACCGTCACCAACGTCATTAACATCAGCATCGCGACCATCGCCATAACCATCGACATCAATAACAATCGGCATCGCCATCATCACCACCAGCATCATCACAATCACCATCATCACAATCAGCATCGAGATAACCATTGACAGTAGCATCATCACCATCACAAGTACCATCGCCATCATTAGCAACACCACCAGATGCATCACCAACAACACTATCATATCCGCCCCCATCCTCGCCGAATCCCCCTTCTGCTTCCAGGTTCCGCCGTTCACTCTTGATCGTCCCCGTCTTGTCCTGAACCTCGTCGCCAACCCCATCATCCTTACCCTACGAGAAGGAATCCTGATAGCAAATCAAGCCGAAAGGATCGCAAAAGCAGGCCTCATCACCAGGATCGCCGAAAACTCCGGGACCTCCAGAATTTCA